AAAGTGCCAGAGCTGACAACAGAAGATTTATGGAAAATCTAGCAGAAAATGCTGCTAAAGCACATGATCTACAAACCCTACACAAAATTACCCAGCAAATTTGCAGAAGCAGAAACAATTATCACAGCATACCCATCAGAGATAACCAAGACAGACTGCTCACACAGAACAATAACAAGACATGCAGTGGACTAAACACTTCTCCGACCTCTTGAACAGACCTGATCCTGAAAATCCCCCAGATATTCAACCAGCCTCTCAGGACATTGACATTATTACTGAACCACCAAGCAAACAAGAAATCCTTAAAGCTATCCACACTTTAAAGAACAACAAAGCACCAGGCAAAGATGAACTGCCAGCAGAACTTCTCAAAGTAGATCCCAACACAACTGCTAGCATTCTAGAACCATTGTTCAAGGATATTTGGGAAAAAGAAGTGTTGCATGATGACTGGACTGAGGGAACAATAGTCCAAATCCCCAAAAAAGACTGCAATAATTGGAGGGGAATTACTCTACTCTCAGTACCAAGCAAAATATTTTGTAAAATCATCATAATACGGCTTGAAAAAGGGGTAGAACAAGCAGGATTCAGAAAGGGCAGAGGAACAACTGAACACATCTTCGCCATACGTAACATTTTAGAACAATGCAATGAATAGCAGAGAAGTATATATATATTAATTTTGTGGACTTTGAGAAAGCTTTTGACAGCGTACATAGAGACAGTCTATGGAAAATTTTACGACATTTTGGAATTCCAGAAAAAATAGTCAACCTAATTGCTCTTTTCTATAAAGACCTTTCCCGCAGTATAAAAAATTACAGTACATCTTTCCAAGTAAAGACAGGTGTAAGACAGGGATGTGTTATGTCATCTCTCCTCTTCAACCTTGTGATTGATTGGATACTAAAGAACACAGTAGACAGGACATTGAGAGGCATACGATGGACTCCATTCACCATGCTTGAGGACCTTGATTTTGCAGATGATATAGCACTCCTATCACATAAACATGAACATATACAAGAAAAAATAACAGACTACACAGCAGAGCAGAAATGGTGGGACTGAGAATAAATACAAAGAAAACTAAGATCATGACAAGCAGTCCAAACCAACAACCAGTGACCATAAATAACCAAACTCTTGAAAATGTAGAACATTTCACATATCTTGGCAGTGTGGTGTCCTGCCTAGAGGGACCGAAAAGGACATACAGTCATGTCTGAACAAAGCTAGAGCGTCTTTTGGAAGGATGAGGCAAATATGGAAATCCAACAATTACTGCAGAGGAAAGAAACTCCGACTCTACAAGAGCATCATTTTGCCAGTTCTTCTTTATGGAGCGGAATGCTGGAGAATGACCAAAAAGGATGCACACAAGCTGTCCACATTCCACCACACATGTCTACGTAGAATTATCAAAATTTTCTGGCCAGATAAAATCTCAAACACAAAACTACTTCAAGTCACAAACCAAGAAACTTTAGACAATAGGATAACCAAGAAAAGATGGAAATGGCTTGGCCACGTTATGAGAATGAATCGTGAAATACCTGCCAAAACAGCTCTCACATGGACACCAGAGGGAAAGAGAAAACAGGGGCGCCCAAAAACAACATGGAGACGAATGATGGAAAGTGACCTGAGTGCAGCATCTTTGACATGGAAAACTGCACTGAAGATTTCACAGGACAGGAAAGCATGGAAAGTCCTCTCTGAAGCCTCATGTGCCCCTAGGCATAATGAGAACTGGTGCTGATGATTGATATCGTTGGGGAAAATGAAATAGAGAGTGTAGAAACACACTCTCTTAAAAGAAGCAGTTCACAAAATGGGACTAGTTATCAATCAAAATAAGACAGAATACATGATAATAGACAGGGAAAAGATATAAACTCTGGCCACATCTTCTTCTTCTTCAGAATTCCAAGCCCTTAAGGTTCATTGCTGCAGATATCACCTGTCTCCATTCATCCCTCTGGTTGGCCTTCTCTTTCCAGTTGAGGACACCAAGTGTTTGCAGGTCTGCCTAGACCTTCGTGGTCTACGACCATTCATTCCCCTTGTGTATACAGTTACTTCTCTGTCATCTGACATTCTTTCAAAATGCCCCAACCATTTCAGTCTATTAGCTCTTATGATGCCAGTGATCAATGGTGGTTTAAACAGATTGTTGCTTCTCACTCTCCATTCCCCACTGTTTGCAAAACATAATAAAAAAATAAAAAAAGCACATAATGGAGAGTAAAACTGATCAGCTTCCTAAAAATACAGTCTGAGTGACAAAATGAACGTTGTGGCTAGAAAACCTTCATCAGCAAATAGAAAACAGACAATTATAGAACTACATAAAAATGACAGCCGTTACCATCTTTTCATCTCTTATTCATCCGGTAGGTTCAGACATTTTGATCAAAGCAAACCATTCATGCCACAGGATAAATAGAAGAGATAGCTGTACAAATCAAATCAAACCCAGACATAATACAAAATATAAACAGCAATAAAAAAAATGAAAGTGAAAAGTAATAAATGTACACTATAAATAAAAAATAAGTTAAATAGGTGGTCACATACTGATGAACATTTCACAGGGTAGTAACTTGCACACTGGCGTGGTGGCCTTCCTTCTTCTTCTTTTTCTTCTTATGCTTCTTCTTTTTCTTCTTCTTCTTTTTCTTCTTCTTCTTCTTCTTCTTCTTCTTCTTCTTCTTCTTCTTCTTCTTCTTCTTCTTCTTCTTCTTCTTCTTCTTCTTCTTTTTTTTACATTTCATCTTCTTCTTCAGCATTTTAAGATCTTTAAAATCCTAGATATCACCCGCCTCCATTCGTCTCAGTGATTGGTCTGCACTTTCCAGTTGATGACTCCAACTGATCGTAGATCTGTCTGAACATTATCTCTTCACCATCTTCTTGTGCTCTACTCCTATTCAACTCTTTTGTGTATGCAGTTTTTTGTCTGTCTGGTATCTGCCACTGTCTTTGTATCGCCCATCATTACAGTCTAATAGCCCTCATGATACCAGCAGTTAGTGATGAAACAAAAGGACCTTCTTCCATGCCTTCAGGCATATTAAGCATAAACAGTTAGACCTATATTTTATAGACCAGTTGCCACACTGTGACTGATATGATGAACCTCATGCCAGCCACTTTTACTTCCCATGACTTTATCAGGTACCCATCTAAGGCTGGGTCGACTTAGGGGCCAAAGACATTAAAAAAAAAAGTCCTGCTGTCATGAACTGAACCCACAACTTTCAGATCTGCAGACAAGCATCTAGTTTCTACACCATGGCGTCTCCCTGTAATAAATGATGATTTAAACAAATTATGCATTTAGCTGTTGCTTATGACCTGGGAGCTGTGGCAGCGTAGATGGTAGATGCTACCCTACCAACCAAAACATATTAGGTTCAAATCCGCATGGATATTTTTTTTCTAAAAATCGGCCTTGTCTGCTAGGCCCACCCAGCCTTAAATAGGTATCTGGCAATGTCCTGGGAAGTAAATGTGACCGGCATGATAATGAGCACATTACCCACAGAGTGCTACTTGGTCTACATAAATATGAGTTTAGTATAATATTCGTGATGGACCACTGGTGTAAAAAGGGTCCTTTACTTCTGCAGTTCTTTTCTTCCACTTTCTCACTCTCCCTTCTCCCTCTTTGCATTTTTGATGGGTCCAAAAATCTGTCATAAAACTCAAACTCCAGAAAGCCCACTTATTAGAATTTAGACTGGTCTCTCTGCTCGACCCAGCCTAAAAGTATAACTATACAGGAAGTTCTTGGATGTAAAAGAGGTCAGCATAGTGCTGGCCACAATCGCTATTGTGTCTATTGGCCTATAACAATTTAGCGCAGGCATATATATCCAGTAAGTCTCAAGGCAGGATAAAGGGTCTTATACAAAAACCTAGACACTAAAACAGAACAATTGTGCTGTTAAGTTATGAAGAAAGTAGTTTTCTTAATTCATGATGGATGGAACAGATTTGGAGGTTGGCAGAGTCTCTAATGACATATTCTATGGTGAATTACAGTTGGGCAGAAGATATCAAAGTCCGACTCTACTATATATAGATGTGCCTAAGTGGGACATGAATGATGTGGATTTATTGGAACTGGCTTCCATGAACTGTGTCACACGGAGGGGAACAGAGAATTTGGCTGTGGTTAGATTAAAAGCTGAGCATCTGAAAAAAAAAAAAAAAAAAAAACATGCACTGACAACTTATGTTCTTGAAATCCCATGTTCTAATTGTGGAAGACTTATCCTAATGTGAGATGGTCTTGCTAATCACACCTGCCATTGCCACGAGCTGTGATCCCATGCCTATCTATAGCACAATGGACGCTAGGCATGGTTGCTGTTTTGGGTCGTGGCAAATGTTTTGCTTCTGCCAGATGGTGGCCATTGCATTTTTGCTCCATTTGTAGACTGAAAGGATAAAGTTTTGTCGTCTAGCTTCTGAGTTGAGCACATGGCGCAACACTGTGAGCTGGGGATTTCATTTAGAATTTTTTTCAACTGTGAACAATGTGGTGTTGTGAATTGTAGATTTAGAAAATGGCGCGTGGCCTGTCGTCGCAATACTGGTGGTGCCCTTATGTGATTAAAATTGATCGCATGTGCAATTGCTGATCTGTTGGTAACTTCTGCTACCGTCAATGATGAACTGCATTTCTAATGTCGGACTGTTTGTGTTAGCACTTCTGATGGCTCCCGTATGCTTTTAATGCATGTGTCTGCTAGTGCATATGCTGAAACAGCATCCTGTCAATCTTTCCACAAGGGATTGTGATGAACATTCTGCGTTTTTCATTGGCACAGGAGCGGAGCAACTATGGTGTAATTTGTTTGCTAGGAAGCTGAAACTAAGATTACCAAGTACAATTTAACACTAACCTTTCAGAAGACAGAAAGGTATCAACAAACACATGAAGAAAATTCCAGTCATGCACAAATAACATACACATGTATCTGTCAGACTTGTGATGCTTGGTCCCCATACAGAAGTGCATAAAGCTCTTCCTTGCTCATGTTTTTAAAATGGTGGAGGCAGTGAGGGGTGCATGCCCGGAACATGATTGGCATGTATGCTATTGAGAACAGCTTAGGCATTGGTCTAATGGCTCGTAATCCAGGTCCAAACACAGGCCCTTTGCATATGTCACAAACTTCTTCTCTGTTAAATGAAATAATAATTTAATGTTAAAAGTGAACTGAAGAAATCAAGAATGAGGTCGTAAGAGAAAAAAATCAGCAAGAACCAATACTAAATTACAGCAAATCAAATGTTTTTCCCACTTAGAGAGAATGCCTTGTGACACCATACCATAGAAAGAATACACCACAAAGAGAAGGACGTAGTACAAGGCAGACCAAGACAACGTAGAAAGATAACATCAGAGAAACATGACAACAGTATGATGTGCTTATGGTCGAAGCGGCCAGAAAGGCAAGTAGGAGAACCGTATATCTTCCTTGACACTAGAAGCAGTAAAATATGAAGTGAAACAGAGGAAGAAGAAAGGAGAATTAAAGTTACAGTTAAAAGTTAAGAGGATCAACTTCATGACACCTCCTACAAGGCTTGTCTCTCTCCACAGGATGGCTATCCCTCTGCTGAGATTAGGTTTAGATGACAGATCAACATCATTGCACAAGGGTAGTAACCCATGTGCTCCGTTCTACTTCTGACTCAAGCCTGAGTTTGAAGAATCTCAACACAGTGCACAGACTCTGTAGCACCGGCGAGGATACTAAAATATTTTGGGTAGATTTTAAACACTAAATTTTGCCCGTGCAGAGCCGCAATGCTACTCTTTTCTCGGTTCCAACTGCCAAAAGATTTTTTTACATGCGCAACAATACACATCGGCATTAATCTTACTACCCAGAGACCAGGGCAAATTACTAGAAGTCCACATGAAAAAAATCCCAGCTTTCACTGGGGCTTGAACATGGGACCTCTCTGCTGAGAGTATCACATTAAACATGGACTCCATTGTTCTAGTGAAATCACCAGGGACTTCTATGAAAACTGCACTCATGAACTTCATGACATGTCCATGAAAGGAACTCATGACTTCTAAGAGGGTAAGACAAATGGCTTGACCCACTCCACCATGGAGACCCCCAAATTAATCAGATTATAATACTGATCACTTCTTTATCATTGCAAATATTTTTACCCTCATCATGATCATTCTAATCAGTGGTATTATAATTGAGTTGAGTCAAGAATTGACATCACAGCACTCAGGGTATTCCCATGCATGCTCCATTGTCAGCTTCAGCAGCCAGCGCAGAGTTGCAATACTGATAGTACCCGTCCAAATCTGGTTAAATGTCCGTCTTGCCTTTCCTCTGAGGGTAGTGAGCCGGCCAGACCCTCTGGTTACACCCAGGTGCCTCATTCTCTCCAGGCCATAATAATCTTCTTTCTCTACTGATTCTGTTGCTTGTTCCCAAAGGGCCTTGACCAAATCTGCCTTGTCATATATCAGTTCACCAACCAGTGGTGCAGATCCAGCCAATCTGGCTGCCTGTTCCTTACCCACCACGCTGGCATAGCCTGGAGAAAATATTATAATACTACTATTATTATCTATTTGATTCAGTATTGTTTTTGTCTTTAATGCAATTACAGTGTGTCTAAGGAGTGGCTGGCCAAATGGATAAGAACACAGGGCTCACATGTGGGAGACCAGGGTTCGAATCCTGGGTAAGATAGGGAATTTTTTTTTCTGTCAGGGGCACACAAAAAATCCTAATCTGCAAAGTCTGTGGTGACAGCAATAGGCATGTGGTCCTAAATCTTCGGGCTTAAAGACCCCTCCCTAACCCCCCCCCCCCTCCCCCCCCCCCCAGTCTAGACTGCAAAAGTGGTAATTAAAAGCATGGCAGTTTACAGTGTGTCTACTGTCTCTGATGTCTCCATATTTGGATCTTTTCCATGATAACTTAAACAATTCATTGCTTATCATGTGCATTTTTAAGCCTCTCTGTAATTTCTATGCTTCTGTTTCCTTATGATTTGTATACCTTTTCACGATTTTCATAAAGAGGCATAAAAATCTCCTGTTATCCCAAGTAGTTAAAATACTGGTCTGTCAACTCTGTAGACAGATCAGAGTATTACTGTTTAAAAAAACATATCTGTTACCTCCTCACTGGAGGTTGGCTACAGTTTATCCACTACATTCACTGGTGGATTATGTTACCATGCGATGGGGCCCTATTCTCTTTCACTGTGTGACTCTCGTAACAGTCACATGTGGTTCATCCTCCCCCCCCCCCCCCACTTTCCTAAGAAATGTGTTTTTCCTTTTTTTTTTTTTAAGAAAGCTATAAAGATTGGTTTTTCTCTTTTTATTAAGAAAGCAATCAAAATAACAATAAACTATCATCAGAAAAATACAAGCAGGCATTTTCTTCTGCCAGCTTTCCAGATAACATTGTATTGTGCTATGGGGAGGGGGGGGAGGAAGGAGACATGGAAATCACAGGCTATGGTAAATGGGAATGCCACTAGAAAGACAACAAAAGTTAACAAAAATGTTCCATAATTAGAACATGGGATTTCAGGACCATTGCTGTCATAGCAGAAAATACAGTTATCGTTAAAATTACACTCCGATATTTAACTGACCTCACTAATATCTGGCTAATGTTACTTTGCACATTTTGGAGGTTGTGTAGATGCCTGAACTTGCTGACGGCAACACAGGCCAGGTCCAGGAGACTCTGTTTAAATGAAAGATATTACATACATTAAATCTTTCAGATGCAAGCAATGTCTGATGTGTTCTAGCTGCCTTCTACTCTCAAGAATCCCAAAAATTATGTTTTCTTATACTGTTTTTACACTTGGTCAGAGCATTAACTCTTTGAGTCCTAGGGGGTTTAGCATCACAGGCCCAGGGGGTGGTAAAGAAAGTAATAAAATCGGCGCATCATGCGTTAATTGGGCTTCTAGGTAGGAACCTATGAACGTGTGATGCGTTCCTTGGGACTCAAAGAGTTAAACAATTCTGGCAACTTTCACTATGTATTTAGTCTTTTTAAAGCTATAAACCAATGTATGTTATGGTTGTTATTTGCCTTGTGGAGCATTGGCTGTGAATTATTTTGAAACAAAAAGTGTTAAGCAGAGCTTTGAGTGTTTTGTTGAGTACTGGTTGTCACATCAGAAATAGACAGTCTACATTTCTTTTAATGTATTTTTCTAAACAGCTACAGAACTCGAACCCTGGAACACTAACAATTGTGAAATGATTTCATTATCCTCTGAGCCATCATTGACACACAATATATCTATATTATTTTCACTTCACAAATAATTAAAACACTGGTCTCAGATTTGAAGTCACATCTGGTCTCTCCCCCACCCCCCCCCCCTTTCCTTCCCTCTCCCCTCCCCCGGCCACGAACTTTTCCCCAAAAATGCTGTAATATTGGTTTTTCTCTTTTTATTAAGAAAGCAATCCAAAAAATGATAAACTATCATTAGACAAATACAACTGAAAGACTAATGAGGAATAGAGGCAGGGAGAGACAGAGAGAGAGAGAGGATAGTGGGCTGTTTGGCATCATGGCTTGGAACAGTATACATGTTAAAAATGACTGGCAATACATAAGATTTTTATGGACAAACACAATGGTCAGCGCTACAATGAATGAACTGTAAGAAGGTACTGTGGAGGACACACATAGAATTCCTATTTGCAAAGCAGCTTGTGAGAGCAAAGTCAGGTCTTTTCTTTTTGTCTAGTAAAAAAATTGGTACCAGTACTCACCAAAATGAGTCTAAAAAAAAGGTGATAGTACTCACCACAAAGTGTCTTTTACAGCAGCGTGTAACAAATTATGGCTTTAAAAAATTTTGGAATTGTGTACTTCTCTGCATACAACGAGGAAAAAAAAAAGCTTCTTCTTCTTCAGCATTCCAAACCCTTGAGGTTCATTGCTGAAGATATCAAATGCCTCCATTCATCTCTCTGGTTGGCTTTCTCTTTCCAGCTGGTCACACCAAGTGTTTGCAGGTCTGTCTGGACATAATCTCTCCATCTTCTTCTTGGTCTGCCTCATGGTCTACGACCATTCATCTCCCTTGTGTATACAGTTTTTACTTCTCTGTCATCTGAAATTCCTTCAATATGCCCCAACCATTTCAATCTATTAGCTCTCAGGATGCCAGTGATCAGTAGTGATTTAAACAGATTATGGATTATGAATTGTTAGTGATTATATGAAAAAACGTGTCACATATGCTGCTGTCAGGTGACATTAAGGGGATGTGAAAGTGGTGTTCAGACTTGAGGATATGTGAAAGTTGTATGTTGTTTCAGGTCATCACACACAATAATTATGTGTCTACATTTATGATAAGACATGTAAAGTCAGATTACAAGTAGACCATTCAGTTGAATGTTGAATTAAGAATCAACATGGACACCCCCATAAGCGCTCAATCCACATCTATTCAGTATCTGACAAGGAAAAACATTATGACATACTGTCAGGGCAACAGAAGTTATAAAAACTTTACACAATTTTGACTCTAAATTATATAGTTTCAAAAACAAAGTTAAGCATTTTCAATTCTTAAGTTATTTAATTTTACTATACGCAGTTGAAAGTGTAGAACCACCAAAGATGTAAAATGAGAGTTAAATGTATTGAAACATAATGCCTGAGGAACTGATGACTACTGAATAGAAATAATTCAAGACGAAGAAAAATGTCAGGATAACCGCTGCTTTCAAAGTTATAACAAAACAATTTGGTGATACATTTAGCACATCCTGAAAGGAAGTGAATAGAAAAACCAAACAGGCAGCATCATCATCATCATCATCATCATCATCATTCCGTAACACTATGTATCATTGGGTCACCAGTTTCTACTGACTGTCTGATCAGCTCTCTCCTCCTTTGCGGTAAGTTGCGACGGACTTCATAATTGCATGCCTGAGGCCTGTCCAGTCAGTCAAGTTCTGTAACCAGGTCTTTTTTAGTCAGCCTCTTCTCCTCTTTCCCTCTACTGAGCCCGGCAGTATTGTTTTTGAGAGGCCGTTACATCTTATTAAATGTCCCTACCATTGCATTTTCACCTTTTTACTGTAGGTTCATAGTTGCTAATGTGCTGTGTAATTTTATGGCGAATCTCTTCGTTTGTAATGTGGTCTCTGTATGATATGCCAAGAATTCTTCTGAAACATTGCATTTCTAATGCTTGTATCTTTCTTGCAAGTCCAGCTGTTAAAGAGGCATACGATTGGGAAATAAAAAGATAAAGAAAACTAGAATTCCAAGAAAAACCTCAAGGCGAACACTGATGAGAGAGGCCAAAGATAGAAACTGGACTGGATTTCATCCACAACATCAAAAAAGATTGTACAGGATGTTATGTATAAAAAGGGTCTCCATGGTGAAGGGGTCAAGCCATTTGCCTCACGGTGTGGAGGTAGTGAGTTTGGTTCACAGGTGCAACTGTTATGGAGATCCCTGGGATCGTTGCTTGAGTCACAGAGTTCATGCTCTGTGCAACGCTCTTGGTAGGGGGCTAGCCATTCATATGGGATAAAACTCAGTGAAATGAAGTAAATCCTCTCAGATTTAACCATAAACTTTGTTATATTCCAACGGCATAACAGGATATGATCTGATACCTGAGCCTGGTTCCTATTATTCTCCTTCCAGAACACAGGATGCATGAAATTGTTTCTAACATTGACCTGGGTCAGCTTCTCCATGTGCAGACAAGATGCAGGCAGAGCCGTGATCTGGTTACCTTCAAGATCCAGGGTATGTAAAGATCTGCAAGCAAACAACAAAAGTCCTAAAAAATAGATTACAAGGAATTTACTAATGACATTTTCATGTAGACGAAAACATTTAATCTCATAGAAGATGTCGGACTAAAATCAATCTCACTGTGTGCTACCACTGCCAGACCTGGTCACTAACAACAAACAATAAAAGAAAATAAGTAGCTATGAAAATGAGACGTCTGAGATAAGCTGCATGAGTGAGCAGAAAAGATAAAATAAGGAGTAAAGTTGTAATAGAGAGAAAGTTGGCACTGAACCAATTCTAAATTACAAAGAGAGCAAATCAAGTTGTTTTCTCACTTGAAGAAAATGCTTTGTGATACCATACCTTCAAAGCATAAACAAAAGAGGAGAAGGATGTACAGCACAAGAAAGACAAAGAATAAGATGGAAAGATAACATCAGAGAAACCTCTACACCAGCATGATGTTTCTATGGTTGAGGCGGCCAGAAGAGCAAGAAGAGATACCTCCCTAGACTCCTGAACAAGTAAAAGAGGAAATGAAGAAGAAGAAAAAGAAGAAGATGAATAAGACACTAAATTAAACTAATAAAATTAAGTATTTTCATTGAAACATCCTAGGTATATGATACTAGCTCCATATTTGTGAAGGTCAACTGAGACTCAATAGGTCATGTAATCAATATCATACTGGCAACATTTATATCCTACTAGCTGTACCCGGCCACGCGTTGCTGTGGCATAGTTTGGCTAAATGGAAATGACAGAAAATAGAAATCGCACGTGTCTAATACAATCATTGTCTGCTCAGATATAGAGATAATCTTTGATCTCCCCCCCCCCCCCCCCCACCACAACTAAATCCACCTACTATTCTCTCCCTCATCAATAGAAATCTAATATAGTTAATGTCGCAATCATTTTCTGCACAGATATAGAAATAGTCTGGTTTTCCAACTTTAGAACACGCACCTTATAATTGTGTCTTTATATTAGTGGTCGTTTAAATGGTGTTATTAGCACAGTAACAAAAATGGTTATTTGGTTATCACATGCTAAAGCTGTTTGTATTTTTATAGGGGGCGGAAGTAAAGCTACAACTGTACTTGTGAATAACAAAGTAAGTCGTAAAAAATAGAAAAGCGGAGGTAGCGTTAGTAAAATATAAACAAATTAGGTAATGAGAACTTGAAAATCACGTGTAAAGCTCTTTAAGTTCTCTTAAATTTTAGTCATTACCCCCTCCCCTCCCCTCTTCCACCGACTACTGCTCTCTCCCTCTTCGAAGGATTTGAAAATCACTACCTGGCAATATTTTTTTGTTGCTGTAACTGACATTGACATCCCTGTCCATCCGGACTAAAATGGGGAGCAGGAATTGTAATATGTAGTGAATGGGGCTAGTGTTATATTTACCACATCATCCTTCAAGTACCAGTACAACTACTACCATGACCACCACCACAGTAGCTAAAATAATGTCACTGCTATCTGTGTTAACATCGGAGTAGACAGAGAGTCGTGAGCCAGAAGATTTGGTTCCACATGGCTAGTGCTGTCGCCACAGACTGGTCAGGTTAGGATGTATAATTTCACTTCCCGACAGAAGAACGCCATAACCTTACCGGCGGTCTTCACATGAGAGCACTATGGTGTAACAGCCCAACTACAACTATTACTGCTGCTGCTTCTTTAAGTGGGTAAAGCAGTTACTGTGACTTAAAGCTCTCTCAGTTAATAGTTTGCCCCCCCCCCCCCCCCCCTAAATTCACCGACAACTCATTCCCTCATTGAAGTAGTTGGGAGGGAAAAAAAAACACTTGAAAAGCAAATGAACATAGGAAAAAAACACCATAATTAGGAAATGAACGCTATGGTAAACAGCACAGCTTAAAATTTCAACGCAGATGAAATAACTAAATCTAAATGAAAATAAATGGAAATCTATGAAATTTCAGCGTAACCATGCAATCGGAAAGTTTAAAAACGCAATCATAAGTATGCGAAATGGTCAAATTTAATTATCAAATGGTTTACCCATTTACATGTCTTTTTCTTTTTTTTTAAGTATTAAGGCAACATGGCTAGTGCTGTCACCACAACAGAGCAGATAAGGATATTATTTTAGTCCGCGGTAAAAAAAAAAAAAATTAACTACTGCGGATTCGAACCCTCGTCTCCCGCACAGGAACCCAGTGTTCTAACCACTTGACCAAGCAGCCACTTAATCGGATCAACGAAAAGAGAACTTAACTATAAGAGATGTGTGTCCCTACTACTGTGTCCCGATTATAACACAACTCAAAACCGCAGGCAATTGTTTTCTCGTAGACAGATACTCCAGATATATTAATGAAACGGCACAACAATAGAAATCGCACGTGTCTAACACGGTTAATGAAGTTGATGTCGCAGTCAATGTCTGCGCCAACGTCGAGATAGTCCTTGATGCCCCCCCCCACCCCACTCCCCTAATCGAAGGTTGTTTGAAAAAAAAAACAGAAAATAGAAATCGTGTTTAATATGGTTATTGTGGCAAATATAGAGATAGTCTTGTTTGCTGTACCACGACCTACTCTATGTATTAGAGAAGGCGTTGGCTGCACGTAACTCGCCGGCGAATGGTGGAAGCCTTGCGTTCTGACTACGGCGCATGCGCAATTACTAACGTGGCTATAATTAGAAATCACTAAAATTATAAATATTAGTTCGAATATTATGGCTTAAATTGTGGTCACCTATCTCTAACAGTGACAGGTTGAATTTCAAACCATGATGGTTCAACATCCGGTATCAAAACAAACACATCCTGAAAATTTCAGCTAAATCGGTTCAGTAGTTTCCGAGTCTATAAGGGGCAAACAAACACACAAACATTGATTTTTATATATATAAATGACATTTTTCTGGTGCTCATTTTAGACTGGGTTGAGCTGGAAACCAGGAAAAAATATTAAGATATAATCCCTAACTTTAGAGGGATTCAAACACAAGACAACTTTCTGGAAAGCAAGCACACCTGCCATTAATTCCAAGATACCTTAGTAAGGATATCTCCTTCTTCTTCTTCTTAGCATTCACTAGCTGTAAACTGGGGCTGAAAGTTCTGGCTGTTCCTCCCCTTCTGGACTTCAGTCGTGTTTCAGAATATGAATTCTATATGCACATCCTTTTAGCAGATCTGGCTTACTTGTGTGCAGACTGTTGGTTCCTCACTGCTCCTCGGGCTAAAGTGCACTGATTTTGGGGTTGTGGGGGGGAACCTCAATTAGTCACCTTTGATGACATGCTTGTTAAGGAGTCAGTGGGCCTATTCTTTTCCCTCTCAAAATAGGGCCCTGGAATCCACACAACGTGAAAGGAAATGAAATCACTATCAACATCATCATAATGACTGGTAATGCTATTTCATTGAATTAAAAAGTACAACGTACTTGAATAGAAGCATTCATTCACCCTGGGGCACACACACACACACACAAAATTGGTCAACTTCTTCTGACATATTGCTGTTTACATAAATAACAACGTAAAATCAACTGACACAGACAGTAATGTAACATTATTTGACAATGATAAAACCAGTGACAGAAAATTGACTTACTTCAGGTGGCACATGATATGTGGCATGACAGTCAGCTTGTTGTAGGCAAGACTCAATTCTTCCAGGCATGGCAAGTCAAACAGCCTGTTACATGGATGAGGATAATTTTTAGGATGGTTCTGATGTCTTCTCTTAATGAAACAGTTAATTTAAATATACCTCCTGTGCTGGTTCGGGATCCCATTTTTTTAATGGGGGGGGGGGGGTGGGAGGGGGTGGGAGAGAAGAGATCCACTGCTTTTCTAACAATCATGTCTTAAAAGGTAGCCAATGTAGAATTCTTTTTTTTCCCCCTGAAGTGGGTGTGCATCTTCCTGAGCAGCCAGGAACCAGGTCAGTGTCAAGAAAGTTCACACGTTGTCTTTGTCTCTCTTTCCATAGATCTGTCCAGTGGTCAAAACCTGTCCCAGTTTCTTACTTCTCTTAACATGACCAAACAATGACGACTGTCTCTTTCTGATGTTTTTTATCACAGTTATACTTTAAAGAAAGTGATGTGCAGGTAATTATAAGTTACAATACTGGCAATAAATAACAGATGAAACTGAACGAACAATTTCTTCACAGTGAATTTACATAACAAGTGTGACAGTGAAGATGTGATTTTCTTTGGACTAACAAATACATCTGATGGGGTAATTAGTACGGAATGTTTAAAGAAAATGGTAAAAGATTATTCCTCTGTCATGTCATATCCGTTTACTGTTGAACCAATAGAACTATTTTGTTCCATGCGGTGGGTAAGATTTCACCCACCAGACATATAAAAATATCAAGCTATCTTCTTCTTCTTCTTCTTCACTTCCTCTTTTACCCCTGTGGGTGTCGAGGGAGATATAAGGTTCTGTTTCTAGCTCTTCTGGCCGCCTCGACCATAGGCACATTGTGCTGTTGTAGAGTTTCTCTGATGTTATCCTTCCATCTTGTTCTTGGTCTACCTCATGCTCTTCGTCCTTCTTCTCTTTCCATGTATGCTTTGTATGGTATGGTGTCACAAAGCCTTCTCTCTAAGTGGGCAAACCATTTCACTTGCTGTCTTCCAAGCTATAAACTGTGCAATCTACTGCTGGTGCTTTTATAACTGACACCTCTGTTTCTAATTTTCGTCCAAAGATCTGAGTTCATAGAGGTCAAAACACACCCTAACAATGAAGTTTATAAGCAGTCAAACATTTATGACATCTGCTGGGTCTGAAGATGTTGGTTGGTGTGTTTGAGATGGTTGTGGCTGACAAAGATCAGTTTTATTTTCATGCCAGGGTATGCTGGTGTGCAAGGAAACAAGCAATCCGACAGCCTTGCTGGTAGGGTAACTCTGAAAAGGGGCGGGGGGGGGGGGGGGGGGGGGGGGATATTTAGCCATGGTCCAGGCTGCTATACTAAATGCTCTACAAGAATAAGCTGAGTAAGTAAAGTAAGTAAAGATCCCTTTTCACGACTTAGGGTATATGGGAAGAGCGTCCCATATTTTTACAGACCACTCGGCACTGGATAGTTAATGCGGTCAGCATTACACCGGCCGTCTTTACTTTCCCAGGACAGCCATACTGGTATCCATTTTAGGCTGGGTCGACCTGCGATGCCCCATACCATGATAAAAATCCACGCAGCCAGCAGTGGGTTTTGATCGCGGTACGTTGGATTATGAGTCAGACTCGCAACGCCTAAGCCATAAGCTAAGGCATTTGTGAAAACCATGTGACTGGATATCTGCAACCATTACCAGACTGCAAGAACAGCAACTTAAAAGGGCCAGAGAAGAGCACTATGTAGGAAGTCAAAGAAGACTAATAAACCATCACAGAACTGGCGTCATTGGCTGTTATACACTGCAGGATTTACTGAGGAGGGGATCCGAGCACTTATGAACTGAATGGTTTTATGCGCAATAAGGATAATTTTTTAACTAATTAACTAACACCCAACTTGAATTACTGTGCTCTACCTATAATTAAAAAATCCATCATGAGCTTCAGGGATTTGAGAGGAATTGCTAAGTACACCCCTTTCCTCCCCCACATCCCCCCCCCCCACCCTCACAAAATATGCATACATTTTACTAAGGACGCAATACAAGAACATTTAACAACGATACAAAAGCTATATATTTATCAATAATAAACCTATTATATTAAAGTACAAAATATTGAATAGTATCCAAATAATGATTATGTCTGTGGTTTATTCAAATGTGTATTTTGTTTTTTAAAAGAAGAAACTATATGAAGAAGAGATTTAAAAAAAAAAAAAAAAATGAAGAAGTCCTGATCATGAAAGATGAAAGTCATAACTTATCACAACAATTAAATATAGTCAGTATTTTTTGGACATGCTAAGAGAAGAAATGGACTTCAGAACTTGGTAACAATGGGTAAGATTGACTGAAAGAGAATAAGAAAAAGGCAAAGAGACACATACCTGGATGGCATGGGCAAATGGACGGGGCAAGACAAAAACATTGACCTGATCCATGTGGGAGATGGCAAAACATGACAGCAAACATTTGCTGGCATGGCACATGATGATAGCAGTATCTGTCCTACTTTTTACCCAGGTACGAACAGGATTGTTTTTCAAAAAGTAATCATACAAATTACATAAGTGATTGAAATACATTATTATTTTATATACTAAAAAGCAAACGTTTCCACTGAAAAATTCTGTATATCCCAACTATAACCATGAGGGTTGATAAATATTACTTTAGCAAAAACAACTACTGTTAAAACATGTTCAGAAAACTAAACTCACGATCTGGGGAGATCTGTAATGAGAGAAAAAGAAGCAGTGAGCACTCTCAGTTTTTGAAGTTTGTTTATGTTCGCAGGAATCTCCACCAGTGGGTTATCTCTCATTTTTAACACCTCCAGGTTACTCAAGTACATAACTTCTGGAGACACTACCTATTTTGTGACAGGATACAAATCTAAAAATTCAATAACTGAAGAGATTAAAAGTAAAAATAACATGCCATTAACAGCAGTGGCATAGACATGGTACTAGGTGACAATGGCAATAGGTTGTTTGGCGCCCATGGCAACCTAGGGCATTTGGTGCCTAAGGCAACCTAGATTGTTTGGCGTCCATGGCAACCTAGGTTGGCACCCATAGTAATGTAGGGTGTTTGGCGCCCATAGCAATCTGTAGCAGGGTCCGCACCCCAGCCCCCTCTTTTTATTAGTATTGTGCTCTTTGCACGGTAAGACCCTTGTGGCCTTCACCCTTATTGTAAAATTTTCCATTAGTAACCAACTACATCCCCCTAGGTCCATACTCTTGTTTCCCACGTACTATGAATCGCATGATCAGACATGTGACTCTCCCCGTCAACACCAAAGCCATTAGCTAAAATACCGATGTCCCGGCCAGCTCAGGTGATGGCAGTAGACTGCAAAACAAGGAGGGGTAGGAGCCCCCTAGTAACGATTGCCCGGAACCTTCGGGGGGACACACAGAGAGAGCGCTTAGCTCAGATAGACAGACAGACAGACCAGAGGAGAGGTTTGCTCAGATAAATAGATAGACAGATAGATAGATGACTTAGATTCAGGCTCGGACAGTCGGGGATTGGAGCTCACGCACACAGACAGACAGATTTACAGATTCGGATAGACACTCGGAGGTAGAAGGAGGCAGAGTAGACAAGCTCCGGCCAACTAAAACAGGAAAGAAAGTTGGTTTAGATATTTTAGCTAGGTTGAAATAGAAAAGGACCTTTCTAATGTATGCAATTTCAGTTGTTGTTAGAAACAGTGGCCCCTATCGAATAGTCACGATTGTTTTTACCAACGACGATAGATCCACTGCTGTCTACCGCTTTGTGGTAAGGGAGTTTGATTTTTATCACCATCCTTGTCAGTACCCCTACTTCCAGTCGGATTCAAGACTTGATATGGACTCGGGGTCGGATACAGATTCAGAACCTGAACAAGGAGTAGCAGGGGCCCAATAATCAACATGTGAGCCGGACCACCTGGGGATTTCCCAATGTAACAAAGAAGAAGAAGTTAAAAAGATGTGTTAGGTTAATCTGCACTAGTAGCCCGGTGGCAGTTTGAGACACTAGAAATAGTTTAATTATAGAACACAACGCGAATCTATGAGGTTTTAGAGTCAATGTACAACAGTGTGAATTTTTCTCTATTTTTGTGATATGGTTGTAATCTTAAATTAAAGAAGGAGGCAATTCAGAGAACTTGAACAGTTGTTTCCAGACGTTTTGTTATTCAAGCATTATAGTGCACGTGAGAAACATACAGATTGCAAGACATCATCCTTATCATTGCCACTATCGACACGACCATCTTTCTCCTCGTCTGTCAACAATCACCCGCCACCCTTGACACAAAAAACATTTTCGAACCTGGGTTACAATTCTACAGAAGACAGACTGTTGTGTCACAAATCTAGGGCATTTGATTCCTAGGGCAACCTAGGGTTTTTAGCAACCATGGCAATCTAGGGCATTTGGTGCCTAAGGCAACCTAGGGTGTTTGGCACCCATGGCAACCTAGGGCATTTGGCGCCTAAGACAACCTAGAGTGTTTGGCACCCATGGCAACATAAGACATTTGGTGCCTAAGACAACCTAGGGCATTTGGCACCCATAGCAACCAAGGATGTTTGGTGCCCATAGCAAACCTAGAGCATTTGGAGCCTAAGACAACCTAGGGTGTTTGGCACCCATGGCAACCTAGAGTGCTTGGTATCCATGGCAACCTAAGGCATCTGGTGCCTAAGGCAACCTAGGGTGTTTGGCACCCATAGCAACCTCGGGTGTTTGGCACCCATAGCAACCTAGGGTGTTTGGCACCCATGGCAACCTAGGGCATTTGGTGCCTAAGGCAACCTAGGGCATTTGGTGCCTAAGGCAACCTAGGGCATTTGGTGCCTAAGGCAACCTAGGGCATTTGGTGTCCTAGGCAACCTAGGGCATGTGGTGCCCAAGGCAACCTAGGGCATTTGGTGCCCAAGGCAACCTATGGCATTTGGTGCCCAAGACAACCTAAGGCATTTGGTGCCCAAGGCAACCTAGGGCATTTGGTGCCCAAGGCAACCTAGGGCATTTGGTGCCCAAGGCAACCTAGGGCATTTGGTGCCCAAGACAACCTAGGTGTTTGGCACCCATGGCAACCTAGGGCATTTGGTGCCCAAGGCAACCTAGGGTGTTTGGCACCCATGGCAACCTAGGGCATTTGTTGCCTAAGGCAACCTAGCGTGTTTGACACCCATAGCAACCTAGGGTGTTTGGCACCCATAGCAACCTAAGGTGTTTGGCACAAATAGTAACCAAGGGCATTTGGCACCCATGGCAGATGGGTCGGAAATGTTTTTAAGTTTGCATTAGCCCCTGCTCAGTTTGGGGCTAATTTTAAAGACATTGTAAGCCTAATTAGGAGGCCTGTTTAATTCCTTTGCAAGTAAAATTCAAAGGATAGTAAAATGTACTGGGTGTATACTGTTAAAGTGTGTAATTTGTGCAGTGTAAACTCAGAGTGTTGTGAATAACTATTGAATGAATAATTATTCATTTTCTCCTTCTCATGATGTGATCAAAGGATATAGATTGTCTCTTTCTGATGAGGGCAATCAGTTCTCTTCGTGAGTGAGTTTCATTCAAGACATCTTCCTTACTATTTTCATCTGTCTAAGATGTTATCATCATTTATCTAAAAACATTACATCTGTAAAATGACATCTTTAGTCTCCACATAACTTTTCACTAACTGATTGACTGTCCATGATTCACTTCTGTACATCAGGATGGGAAAACTGATTAATTGTCCATGATTCACTTCTGTATATCAGGATGGGAAAACTGATTTACTGTCCATGATTCACTTCTGTATATCAGGATGGGAAAACTGATTTACTGTCCATGATTCACTTCTGTACATCAGGATAGGAAAACTAATTAATTGTCCATGATTCACTTCTGTATATCAGGACGGATCAACTGATTGACTGTCCATGATTCACTTATGTACATCAGGATGGGAAAACTGATTTACTGTCCATGATTCATTTCTGTACATCAGGATTAGCCAACTGATTGACTGTCCGTGATTCACTTCTGTACATCAGGATGGGCCAACTGATTGACTGTCCATGATTCATTTCTGTACATCAGGATGGGAAAACTGATTGACTGTCCATGATTCACTTCTGTACACCAGGATAGGCCAACTGATTGACTGTCCATGATTCACTTCTGTATATTATGACTGGCTAACTGATTGACTGTCCATGATTCATTTCTGTACATCAGGATGGGCCAACTGACTGACTGTAAATGATTCATTTCTGTACATCAGGATGGGGCAACTGATTGACTGTCCTTGATTCACTTCTGTATATCACGACTGGCTAACTGATTGACTGTCCGTGATTCATTTCTGTACATCAGGATTGGCTAACTGACTGACTGTGCATAATTCACTTCTGTATATCAGGACTGGCTACCTGATTGACTGCCCATGATTCACTTCTTTATATCAGGTTTGGCTTTTTTATTTTTATTTATTACATAATATACTTTTATCAAAGATGAGGCTCTGTGGCTTAGAGACTAGTGAGTGATCCTCCAGCTCTAATCTTTACAGTTTAATTTTTTTTTCTGAAAGTGGTATACTGAAGCTAATCTTCATTGTGGAATAGCACATGATTTTTTTTTCTTAAATGTATCAGTCTCACTCCATTTTCTTCTTCTTCATCACGTTCACCAGCTGTAAACTCTGGCAGAAAGTTCTGGTTGTTTGTCCTATTCTGGACTGCAGTCCTGTTCCAGAATCTTTGCATTTTTAAAGATCTGACTTATTTGTATGTAGACTACTGGCTCCATGCCTCTCAATCAGATGCACTCTGATTTTGAGGGAAGCTTCTAATAACTTGACTCTTACGACATGCTGTAGGCAGTGGGTCTATTCTTGTTTTCTCTATAATAGGTCCCCAGAACCTACACAGAGTGTCTCATTCCATTGACTCAGCTCATTTTATCACACTATTAGATGAACTCTCCTACCAGAGAGGCATTATTGAAACTTTTTTGGACCCAACATATATCACTTTAAAATCGTAGATGGCTTGATATAGAAAGATCTAGAGAAGCAACTGTCAAGGACACAAATAACATAAATGTCACAAATAAATGTAAAAATTGCTACCTTAAAATTATTGAAACTCAGATTCAGATACGTCAATGTAGTCATCACTGGAGAGATATCTGGTAATCGCTCTATGAAATAAGCCTGTGGAATAGAGAACCGAATATATTAATTTAAATGTCTTAATTAGTACATGAGCTCTGATCTACTAGCAAGGACCCTAGCATGACTGAAGAGTGGGTGATTAAGAAACAATAAATAGAAAGAATACAAGTTTAAGGACTGATGTGACAAGAAAATAAAATTAAGCAAATCCCATCAAATATTAAATTACTAGTTTTGTATATATTTTTTACATAGCTCTAAAAAGTGCTTTGTGCAGATAAGACCAATTTTTATGCCAATTGTGTATGTTGCAAATGATTCAAGACTCACATTTGTATAGACTGGTCATCACACAGTGGGTGATCTGGTCAAAATTAGGCTTTTACTTCCTCAGAACATTACATGGCACCCACTTTAGGCTGGATCAACCTCGAAACCAAGGTTGTTGAAAAAAAACATATCTGCCTCAGTGCATATTCAAACTCAAGATCTTCAGGCTGGCAGGTGAGCATCTAGCCACTAAACAACGGCAGCTCCTCTTGTGCAGATGACACCAGAAACTGAAAGGCTCAACAGGGCCATGCACAAAAAATAAAAGAATGCTTAAACAAAAAACCCACAAATAAACAAATTATTATAAATTGTCAAATGTCTCACTGTTGAATTTGTGTGGTAATTAATTATTGTGTCTAGCTCCTGTCACTAGAAACAGTTTTGGACTTTAAGGAATCTTGTCCACAACCTGAAGAGTTTAGTGTATATTATGCTGTTTACTAACCCCATAATATTATTGCAATGCCCATTGTCAGTTCCAAGCCTGGATAAGAAAGGAGGATGGTTGGGTATGGGGTCAGCTTCCCCACCCTGTAAAAAATAATTTTCTACAGAAACTAAAAACAGCAATGACATGCAAAGGAGAACAGAAGATTTAGCAAATATAGCGACAAGGGTTGGACTACAAATAACCTTTAAAAAAATACATACATTAAAGACACCAACAAAATATCAAGCAGATGTAACACTAGAGACAAAAAGTAATTAAAGTAACAGATCAATTAACTTATTTAGGTAGTAATGTTTATATTGGAATTCATCCATGATATTGAACTGTTTACACAGGATAGAACAGAATGGAGGAATAGACTGTGAGCCCTATGTGACATATAATGGCGAAACTGGATAATGAATAATATTACAGTCCAATCAACGATGCTTAAAAGTGCTTTTCTTCTCAGAACATTTCCTGCTGTTGATTTTACACTGGGTTGACTTGGAAGAGGTTTTTTATTTTAACCAAGCCTCTGTTTCAGTGGGGATTCAAATACAGGATCTATGCCGTCTATGCCTTCTATCCCCCAGTGGAGCACAGGCTCTCAATTCACTCAGGCCAAGTCGTTCTATCCTTTGACTGACTTTTAAGACCTTTTAATCTTTGCATTACTATAACCTTCTCCTTTTGACTTCTGTTGAACAGTCTTCATTCTTGTCTATTATGGAGCCTAGATATTAAACATTGGTGATATTTTAAATTTCTTCATCATTTATTTTTATTTTTTGGGGGATAACAGTAAGTTTTGTTAGTGGATATTATTTTTGTTTTCTTCACATTCAAGGACAGGTTTTTATCTTCAATCTGGTGTTGGACAGACATGATTAAATGCTCCATTCCCTTCATAGTGTTCGTAAGGAGGACTGTATCATCTGTACAGTGAAGTTCCAGAACAGAGTCACCACAAGTTATAAATGGATCATAATTTTCACAAGTATGGTAATTTTTGACAGCTCATGACGTTTTATGCACATATATTAAATAGGTACGGTGAGAGAAAGCACCCCCTGCTTCACTCCCTTTTGCATCTTAAAACCAATCTAATATTTCTCCAGCTACACTGATGACTGCTTGTTGTTTATGATATAAGTAAAACTAAAGGACCTTGTTCCATGCCTTCAGACATACTGGGCAGATAGGGCAAGACCTAGACTTTATAGGCTGTGGGTCTATGTAGTCAGCATCATATTGGCTGCCTTTACTTCCCATGACCCTACCTGATACCTATTTAAGGCGGTGTCGACCTGGCAGTTAAGGTCATTTTTTGACAAAAGTCATGCTCCGTCAAGACCTGAACCCACGACCTTCAGATCTGCAGGTTAGCAGCTAGCGACCACCCTATGACAGCCCCATTTTTTATATAATGTATATGTGTGTGTATGTGTGTGTGTTTGTGTGTGTGTGCATGCATGCATGTACGTGTGTGTGTGAGTGTGTAAAAAACATTTTACATTCAAATAGGAAAACGAATAATCTAGTCTAGTGGTTTCTTTTTCTTAAGACCTGCAAACCCTTCTTATTTTCGGAGACCTGCCAAGGACCCCATACTATTTAATAGTTATATTTTTTTAAATAGTAAAAAAAAAAAAAGCATGGAATTGAAAAATAAAAGAGTTACGGTTGTGACTTTTTTCTTCCATTCTTTTCTAAACAAAATCAAAGATGCTTTAAAATAGTTCAGCAGACACCAGGGGTTGGCAGAATATCAATTGGAAACTACTGACCTAGTTTGTATTTTATTCTTTAAATGTTGCAAAAAAATTAACAGACCACATACTTTGAAACTGAGAGCTGCCCCTCCGGTAATTAGACAGTCTAGAACTGCCATTTCTGCAGGGGTCACAAGTTCATCTTCAGCATCAGCTGTGAAAGAATGCAAGAAAGACAGGACTGAAAATAACTTGTCAGTTAGCACATCCACTTCATCTAAAAAAAAATTAATGTCTTCCTCATCAGCCTGTCTAATATAATCAGCAATAGCAGACACAACATCAAAAGATAATTTAAGTAGTAGCAGCTGCATCATCATACTTCACAAACATCAGTGAATAGAGAGTGAGAAGCAACAATAAAACTCATAATCTGTTTAAATCACCATTGATCACTGGCATCATGAGAGCTAACAGATGAAATGGTTGGTGCATATTGAAAGAATGTCAGATGACAGAGAAGTAAAAACTATACACGAGGGAGATGAATGGTCGTAGACCACGAGGCAGACCAAGAAGACAAGGGAGAAATAATATCCAATCAGACCTGCAAACACTTGGTGTCACCAACTGGAAAGAGAAGGCTAACCAGAGAGATGAAGGAGGCACTTGATATCTGCAGCAGTGAACCTCAAGGGCTCGGAATGCTGAAGAAGAAGAAGAAGCTGCATCAGCAGTAACTAATAGTTATAACAGCAGCTAATAATACTAGTTGCTGTCTGTAGCTTAGGTGTTACGCACACACTTCGTAATGACAGTGTGTCGAGTTAAATTCCAGCCTCGGGCCTTGTGTCTTGCATTGGTTTTGACAGTGGTATCAAGAAGCCGACGTCCAGAAAGCAATGGCAAACTACTTGACGTAAATTTGCCTAGAAAACTACAACAGCCAAAAAATCCCCATTGTGTGTGTGAAAAAAAAAAACCACTGTTTCCCTAACAGGCACTGTCATAAGAGTCGACTAATCAGGTATGTTTTCTTTGAAGTCAGAGTGCATCTCTCTGAGAGATGAGGAACCAACAGTCTGCATACAAATAAGCCAGATCTGTAAAATGGATGTGCATGCGAAAATCAGGTTCTGGAGCAAGACTAAAGTCAGAAGTGGATGAACAACCAGAAATTTCCACCAGAGTTTATAGCCAGTGAATGCAAAGAAGAAAAAGAAGCAGAAGAACTCAACTGGAAGTGTCAGTTTGTGGCTTCGCTGGTTGACAGTGTTAAGTCTTTCTATCCCAGACACCTGTTACTTAAAAATAAAAACTTTCTTAAGTAATATAACAGAATCTTGTTAAAAAAAAAACTTATGTGCTTGCCCTAAAGAGGGTGGCTGGCATATTGTACAGCTGTTTACTGCTAGGCCTCTCGAAGCTCAATCCCACGTCCAAGCCGTGAGAGGCTGTGACAAGACAAAGTAGGGGATGGCTAGGATTGGGTGAAGTATGGTGTGGCCTTGTGTCGCAGGGCCACTACAGTAACCATGAAGGCCGTTCTGGGTCACCTTGATACCTCCTGGCAAACGGAGCTGGTGGAGTCGCTTACAATGCATTTATTATCAATACTGAAAACCCAATAGGATATAAATGGGCTGATCAAACGGCATTTGACTATATGGCACTGCTACAAATAAACAAATAATAAACAAATAGTAAAACAAACAATATGAAAATGAACAATGAAAAGACAGAAGTAATGTCAATAGGAAGAAAGAAGCAGAACCTAAATATAGCAGCAGAGTGCAAAGGCATTAAACAAGTATCTGAGTCTGGGAACAACATTTACTGCTGGACTATGACATCAGACCTTTTTGACCCAAAACAACCAGTTTCAGCAAACCCTTAATTAGTGGCTTGTTATGATAATCTGGTTAAGAGTTAATGGGTCCTGATACAGTAAAGCAAACCAAGTACTGGGACTTTCACAATAAATCAGAACAGAAAATTAGTAACCAAGGAAATGGGATGTCTGAGAAGGGCTGAAGAAGTGATCAGAAGAGATAAAAAATAGGAATAAGGTCATAACAGAACAAATCATACAGAACCAATTCTAAATTACTTACAAAGCAAATCAGCAGCCATACCATACAAGACATACAGGAAAAGAGCAGATGGACTAAGTTCATGAGGTAGACTAAGAACAAGATGGAAAGATAACATCAGAGAAACTCTACACCAGCATGTTGTGCCTATGGTTGGGGTGACCAGAAGAGGAAGAAGGAGCAGAACCTTATGTCTCCCTCCACACCCAAAGCAGTTTTTAAAAAATGTGAAAAAAGAAGTGAAGAAGAAAAAGTTTACTGCTAGGCTATGGTATCTGACGTTTCCACCCAACACAACCAATTTCAGCAAACCTTTAACTAGTGGCCTATTATGACATTCTGGTTAAGAGTCAGTGGGTCCTTCCCCCTCCCTAAAACTCTTAGAAATGGGGCTCCAGAACCCACCATGGGACAGTAACAAATTTAAAGGGACTGTGATGTAGAAATTTATACCAGGCTTATAATAATTGTGGATCAACCACTTTGTAGACTAGAAATTATTAGGTAAAGTAACAGTCACTTGGAATAGCTACTCTTCTTCTCCTTCACATTCACCAGCTGTACCGTGACAAAAAGCTCTTGTTGTTTTTCTGTCTCAGGACTTTAGTCTTGTTCAGGAACCTGAGTGTTGCATGCACATCTGTTTTATATATCTGATTTATTGGTATGCAGACTGTTGGTTAATTGCCTCTCTGACGTCAAAGACACCCCCCCCCCCCCAATTAAATGACTTCTGTGACAAGCTTGTTGGGGAGGCAGTGGGTCTATTCTTGTTTCCCCCAAAAAAGGCTCTGGAACACACACAGGGAAGGAATAGCTAATGAATACTTGATGTGTTGCTTGGTGCCAAACGAGTTAAACTAGTGACATTTATCATATTATGTAATACATTTTATAAGTAATACACCCATGATATATTGCAATATATGTTAAATATACAACTGAAGCATCTAGTGTGAAACATACTGTCAGTGAAAGAGTTAAATATTACATAGAATCCTTGAAGATACTTACACTTCTGGGATTCACTTTCCCTCAATCCTTTATGGGAATCTGAGTGAGCAGATGGGAACACAGCATCAGCTGCAGACAACTCTGTCTTTCTGTCAACAGTTAAATACGTTTTTTTTTTGTCATTTAATCATTTGATTATTCATTTGCCTAATCATTCGATAACAAACTCATCACTCAAGTGTGCAATCAACAGATTAATTTTTATAAAATAAATATTTTATTAATTATTTAACAAGTGTTTGATTCATTACTTTATGATGACAGTAAGAAGAAAATGAGTATGCTGATTCAACATGTGGGTTCCAGGGTAATATTATAGGGAAAACAAGAATAGACCCGCTGCCTATCCAAAAGCATGTCGTGAGAGTTGACTAATTGGAAGCTTCCTTCGAAGTCAGAGTGCATCTGCCTGAGAGACAAGTAACCAACAGTCTGTATAGAAATGAGTCAGATCTGTAAAACAGATGCGCATGCAACAATCAGGTTCTGGAACAGGACTGGGGTCCAGAAGTGGATGAAAAACCAGAACTTTCTGCCAGAGTTTACAGCTGGTGAATGTGAAGAAGAAGAAGAAGAAAAAGTATGCTGAAAATAATTTGTATTACTGAAGATGATGACGACAACCATTTTGTTTTCCTTCAGACTTCAGCAGTTTTGTTATATGTCTGGTCACAGCACACTAAAGAAACCTGGCCTAACCATTTTCACTTACAGTGTGTATTTCATCATTATAAAGGGCCTTGCTGACTGTGTTGGTGATCATGCCTCTTCACAATTTTTTATCTGCAGTGTCGTCTATCAGTTTGTGTGCTAACACCTTTCCAGGCTGTGACGAAACCTGTCAAGGATCTTTTCACATTGTGTTCCTTTATCTTTCCACAAATCATTCCAGTCCTCACAACATGTTCCAGTTTCTTTCTGGTATAATGTCATAATGTGGCCAAAATGTGAAGACTGTGTCTTTCCAATATTCTCTTCAGGTCCTGTTTTGAAACATCTTGATGACTCATTCTGGCTATTCAGGTAATTTAAAGCATTCCTTAAAGCATTCATTAAGCAATTTGCCTCTTTAAAAATTATACACTCTAAGGCATCTATGAAACAATCTCAGATCAAGCGAGTTGTGAAGGTCAAAGGTTAAAGGTTACAAAATGAACTACTCAACTGTCTTATCCTCACATCTGTGCTTGATTTGAGCCGACTATCATCTTCATAGACAAGTATTTCTGCATCAGGCTGCTGCCTAGTGTACCATTCTAGTGTGTACTTTTTTGAGAACTTTATTACAGGTTTCACTTCTTTCTTCAATACTTCTCTCATGTTGGCCTTCATTGCAGCTGCAATTTCGTACAGTAGCTGTCGCTGAGGGATCCGGTTCTCTTTCACTGGAATACCTGATGCTGAAATAGATTAATGGAAAACTATTTTATATATTTTATATTGTACATTCTATACTTCTTCTTCTTCTGCTTAGTGTTCACTAGCTGTAAACTCTGGCGGAAATGTCTGGATGTTCATCCACTTCTGACTTTGGTCTTGTTCCAGAACCTAAGTTTTGCATGCACATCCATTTACGGATCTGGCAAATTTGTATGCAGACTGTTGGTTTCTTGCCTCTTAGGCAGGTGCATGCCAACTTTGAAGAAGAAACCAAAATAAGGTCAACTTTTACGACTTGCTTGTTAGAAAGGCAGTAGGTCTTTTCCTCCCCCGTCCTTCACAGATGTGGCCATAGATCCCACATGGGGAACTTCCTATACAGTTGTTGGGAGATATGGTAACAGTTGTCAGCATAGCGCTTGCTGACCCAGAAGTCATGTATTAAAGGAACTATTAAAATAACAAATAGACTTGAAAAGATACATCCCTAACAAGCATTTCATCATTTGTTCTTCTTAGCGTTCATCAGATAAAAACTTTGGTGGAAGGTTCTAGTTCTTTGTCTGCTTCTGGACTTTAGTCTTAGACAGTATCAAAATAATTGCACAAGGGAAGAGATTCTTCTTTTCTTCTTATCTTTCAACACCCGTAAACTCCAGCAGAAAATTCTGATTGTCCATCTCTGGATTTTAGTCATGTATATCCATTCTCTAAGTCGATGTGAACGCTTCATAATGCCGGGGTACCGGGTTCGATCCCAGCCGCAGGCCATACGCCTTGTGTTGGCTTCGACAGTGGTATCAGGGAGCCAACCGTGCAGAAAACAATGGCAAACTACTGGACATAAATTTGCATAGTGAAACCACACAACAGCCAGGGGCCGATCAGGTTGGTTCTGCAATGTCCTGTAAAGGATACGCAACTAACCTATATCCATTCTACAGATCTGGCTCATGTATATGTAGACTGTTGGTTCTTTGCCTCTCAGGAAGATGCCCTCCTACTTAGTATGAAACTCCCATAATTAATCACCTTTAACAACATGCTTGTTGGGGAAAGGGGAAGTGGATCTATTCCGCCCCCCCCCCCTCCCGCCCCCCTTTCCTCTTCACTCATAATGGAGCCATGGAACTCAAATGGGGTTGGAAGGAGTTATGGCTTCAGTATTCGGAAAAAAGTCACCAGTGTGTGATCTAGCAACTTTCAATGTGGAGACGGCAGAAGAAAAATGATCCCTTTCAGAATAAACAATTATTTCCGTCAAAGGAAACACTAAGTTGATGGAATAAGAAATACATACTTACAATCAATAGCCAGAGTGTGAAGATTTTCCTGCCTGCCATGATTTAACTCAGCAGCTATTAGATTTGTAAGTTTCTGGAAATTGTGCTTCGAATAAATGGCACATCTCACTTGAGGAATTGACATGTGCTTCATCTTTGCAAATTTGTACAAAAATTGATCCAACATGAAAGTTGGATTTTGGTAATATCTCTCATCATCAGCATCATGATATACAACCATTTCAGGGTTTCTCTTTGGAGTACGAGCTGGTAATGGATCAGGGCCTCGTATACTACGTAGTTTCAGAAGGCTGTCCACATTTACATGTGATCCTATCATTGTTCTTTCTTTATACAGAGGATCTAAGATATATTTCTTGTCATCACAGTTAGTGAAATCATCCCCTTGTTCCGGTGATGTACATCTACAGAATGCATTTGCCTGAATGAGTTCACGTTTTTTCCCCAGAGAATTAAAACTCCTTCTTGCCACTGACCCAGATGTTGGTGGAGGACAAACAAGTATAGAGTCAGTTCTGTCTCCATCTGTTGAAATACTGTCCCATTCAGCATCATCATTGGTCAGGGCATCTAGGTTGAAAGTGTCTTGGAATATTCTTATCATAGAGCCAGGCTTAATATCGTTCTGTGATTCCTGCAATTCTTTTTTCGGCACCAAGGCAGGGAGGGTTCTAGGAGGTAGTGGTCTGCGTAAAAGTTTTCCAGTATGCATAGTCTGTGTCTTTCCTGTTAGGCCTGGTATTATGTGGACCTAAAAGTAAAAAATTAATTCAATAAAATGCATGGACATGGTAAGAAAGCAATGATTTTCCATTGTGAAGATAAATAATGGGACAGATACAATATAACTGCACATTTTTTGCACGACATGATTTATTTCATCTCATCAAGTACATACATGCAGTTGGGGGTGACGAGAGGTTCTGGCATATGCTCGAGGCTCAGAGGAAAGGCAATACGGATGTTTAATTAGAAAGCTACTGGCACCATTAGTACCGGAACTCTTTGCTGGCTGCTGAAGATGGGGAGGGAGAGCTTATGGGAATGCCCTGAGTGCTGTGATGTCGGTTCTTGAACCAAATCAAATCAAATCAAATCAGGTACATACTACATAAATTAGATCAACATATAATAAAATACAAAAATGATTCTTTTCAAATAAAATATACAAATCACATAGGCCATTGCTGCATTGTAAGGGTTACCTTGGATGTCTTGGACTAACCAGGATTTTCTTCAGTTTGCATAACATGGGATTGCCTATTCAAATTACTATAAAATATTATGGAAAAGATATTGAACTCTTCAGTAGAGCCAGATTCTTTCCCAGCATAACACTGAATGTATTTTTGACATCATTTGTCTACAAAGCCCTATCTCTGCAGTTTTCATTTAACTTATTATCATTAATGGGTGTCCCCCGTGTGGGTTCCGGGGCCCCATTCTGGGGAAAACAAGAATAGACCCACTGCCTCCCCAAAAGCATGTCGTAAGAGTCGACTAATTGGGTAGCTTCCTTTGAAGTCGGAGTGCATCTGCCGGAGAGGCAAGGAACCAACAGTCTGTATTCAAGAGAATGAGATCTGTAAAACTGATGCACACACAACACTCAGGTTCTGGAGCAGGACTGCAGTTCAGTAATGGACAAGCAACCAGAACTTTCCGCCAGAGTGTACAGCTGGTGAACACGAAGAAGAAGAAAAAGATTAATGGGTGTTTTGACCCAGATGTTTAAAGGAAGCACTTGGTGATGATGGGATCAATACCATGCTGGCTGTGTTTTGTTCATAAAACCTTTTATAGTATCCATTTTAGGCTAGATCAGTCTGTAAGTCTAGGTTTTCTTCTGGTGCTTTCGTTTTTATTCACCCCAAACAAACAGTCCAATATTTCAGGGGGTGGTAGATAAGCTGCATTGGTCATGGGACCAAGGTTGCATGCAGTAGTGTGACCAAGGCTGCACTCTCTTGTGGGACATAGGTGGGTTGGAGTTAGGTCCAGTTGTAAGTGTTTTGGTAGTTAAAAAAACCACAAAGCTGGGAAACCCGACCTTACCACCCTATTCAATATTGGACCATCTCCGTGAAGTCATCTGGGGTGTCTTATTACAAAAGAACTCTTCTTCTTATTCTTCAGCACTCCAAACCTTTGAGGTTTTTGCTGCCGATATCACCTGCCTCCCTTCATCTCTGAGATTGATGGTCTCTTTCTATTTGATGGCTTCAAGTGTTTTCAGCAACAGGTAATGATTTGATTTGATTGATTTGATTTGATTCAAGAACCAACATCATGGCACTCGGGGCATTCCCATAAGCGCTCAATCCCCATCTTCAGCAGCCAGTAGCATACTGATTAAACGTCCCTCTTGCCTTTCCTCTGAGCCTCAGGCATCTGACATAACCTCTTGTCACTCCCCGCTGCATCAATCTCACCAGACTGTGGTGATCCATTTGCTCCTCTGAACTGTACATGCTCTCCCACAAGGCACTAACCATGTCTGCCTTATCATGTATCAGTATTCCACCAAGTTGTGCAGAGCCACCTAGTCTCTCCTCCTGTTTATTTCCGAACACACCGGCGTACCCCGGTGAAAAAATTTAGACAATACTCCTCACCAGTGTCCTCCGCAGAAAAACATGCCTTTTTGCACAAAGCATGCCTGTCCTGATCTTCCTCAGCATGCTTTCTGAGTCAATTACAATCACGATGTGTGTGTGTGTGTCATGTTCTCTAGCCAGCAGAAAGCTGCAGTGACCACCTCCACCTCCATTCTTAAGCTGGATATTGTGGTATCATATGCAAGGCTCTCCTAAACAAGTTCAGGTGGCACTTTGACCCACTCCTCTCCTCACCTAATGTTCTTAAGAATGCAAACCTGTCTGATTGTGTCTTCTGACTGAGCCATCCATGACTTCCCTCTTATCAGCCGCTGACCCTTAACTGCACCCAAAGCTTCATGCAAAGGGTGGTCTATGTCTGCAGCTAACCTGAGATATGACTTCACCTGCATCACCTTGTGCCTACCTGCAACAATTGGCAAACTAAGGATGAATCACATACACACCACTGGGGTGTCTCTGGTGCAACCTAGAATGACCCACATATCTGCGTTCTGTATGCGCTCTAGTTTGTCCATCTGACTCTCTGAGACAGTAAGCAGTCCCAGGCCATAAACAACCACTGACAGAATCAGGTGCTGATACAGTGTGAAAAGCATTTTCTGCTCTATGTCTATTGCAGCCACAGTCTTAAGTGCACTAAGAAACAGGTAGAATGTAAGTATACTGGTAACTGTTCTTTAGTCATGTCAGAATTCCACTTTCAAATTTTCCATGGCATGGGAAAAAGTTAATCTAAAGGTTCACAGATGCAATCTGTGGTAACAATGAATTAAGACAAATAAGACAAGCACACATACTAGAAAACGTTAAAAAATAAACAGCATTGTTTTTTCCAAACTAGAGTACAAGAAATGTTGGCACTCTTCTGAATATGGGCCAAAATTATTCACTTAAAAAACAATCCCATTCAGGGTCTCAAGATGTCAGATATTTTAAAATCTGGAATAGGAACACTATGTACTATGCTTCACATTATTATATAATTTCATTTAAACCAAACTCTAGAGTCTTTGGTAGTACAGTTGTAACTATTCCGCTAGACACGCAGGTCACCGGTGTTCACTTTCCTGCTAGGTGATAATTTGTTTCTACTAAAATGGCTGTTGGCACATTGTGTTGTGGCTTACAGCTAGGCTGTGATATCTGCACCTTTTGCTCCAACACATCCCATTTCAGCAAAGTCTAATTAGTTGCTTTTTACAGCATGCTTTTTTAGGTGGTAGTGGGTCTCTTATTTTTTTTCCCCTCAAACATGTGGCGCTGAAAGTCACAAGAGGGGTCACGGGTAATGTAAAAAATGGATCAAAAACCATTCATTCCTATGTAGCTTTAATGGATCAAAAACTACTCCTCCTCACAACGCTCAGCTTAAGGTCTCAACATTGCTATCCATCGAGCAATAATGGCAGAAGTGGAAATTGATAATGATAGAAAAGTTTTTACTACATAAACTCTTGAGGCTCTCAAAAGGATGTTTTAAGCAGTGAATAATTTGAGGCCTGTATTCGGAAGAGTGCCGAAATGGGAACACCAAATAGTATCACAACGAGGACATATGACCAATTGCAAGAAACCTATGCTGAATTTAAAAAAAAAACATACGAAAATTAGACACCTCTAGAGAAATGTAAGGAGAGACTAAACAGTACACCACGTGAACACACATTGCTATATAAGTATACAGTTTACCAAAACAGCAACATTAATTAATAATAATAATTATAAAAATATAAATTAATCAAGGACTCCGTGCTGCTAAGAAAGATCACCTGTGACTCAAGTATCTTAAACTATGCATCAATAATGTAATAATTGTAATAAATATTTAATTTGTATATTGCTAAATGTAAATAATCTCAGAAATTATCACAATTTACCACCAAATCCATTAAATTTATACAGTTAAGAACACAGGTGAAAATGTACCGGATTCGTGAAGTCGTTGAAACCGAAACAAGACGCCATTTTGACGCACCGTTGTTGTTAGGCAACAGATCCTGTTCGCCTATTCACACGCAGGCAACAGCTTCTGTATTCTCAAGCGCTGTGTCCTTTAACCTGATGGGAGTCATCATCATCATGTAGCAGGTCCTTTGCAGAACGTAGCTCTCATCACAGTTTGCCTGAAAGAAACTCAGTATCTCGCCAGTTCTCCTGCCTCATGTACTTTCATACTCAGTGAGTCACTTATATCCTGTGCCCATCTTTATGTCGGTCGGCCCCTGCCCCTCCTTCCTCGTACAAGGCCTTCTGCTATAGTTTTTTTCTCTCCCCAATCCGTTGTGGCGCTGGATATGACCAAAATATTTCAGCTTCCGAGTAAGGATGCTGTTTATTAGTCAATCTGCCTTGATGTTCGGATCTTTTACGACGTCAGTATTTCTCCTCATCTTTGTCCAATATATTCTGAGAATCTTTCTGTAGCATTTCAGCTCAAAAGCTGCTGTTCTCTTTCTTAAGGATGGGGGGTCAAGCAATTTAGATATTGGATGCATCTGTATTTATAATAAACACTTTTATTTTTTTTCTTTCTTAAATTTAATTTTTTTGAATGTACTATTTCTTGTTTATTTTCATAGGCATTTCTATATCTAAGATTACAGATCTAAATAATATGTTAATACCGGGATTTAATTCTAGATTAAGAACACGCCCTGACAACTGCACTGCGTATTTGCATTTTGTCCGATTCTTTATTGACAAACAATGCTCTGTTCTTTTTAATAGTATTTTGTTATGTTGGGAGGGAGTCCGGGGGAGGCATGTCTGTCTGTGCGTATGTCTGTGCGTATGTATGTCTGTCTGTCTGTCTGTCTGTCTGTCTGTCTGTCTGTCTGTCTGTCTGTCTGTCTGTCTGTCTGTCTGTCTGTCTGTCTGTCTGTCTGTCTGTCTGTCTGTCTGTCTGTCTGTCTGTCTGTCTGTCTGTCTGTCTGTCTGTCTGTCTGCCTGCCTGCCTGCCTGCCTGCCTGCTTGCCTGTCTGTC